CCACAGGCATAGCCTGCTGCGCGAGGTGCGACGTCCGCGCGGGCGGCTAGGTAGTAGCATGCTGCGCGAGGTGCGCCCCGCACTGTTGCTAGTATATCGGGGCTAAGAAACTGCATGTGAAGCTTCCCAAACTCGCGGGCGTCGTTGGCGTCGTTATCCTGGTGAATGTTGCCCACTCTTCGTAGCGTGAGCTGCCTGGGCGGCAGCCCCTCGGCCAACGGAAAAAATCATTTCAAGTTGTCGACTGGCATACACGGGCAACAACTTGGAGCCGACTCTAAGACGAACTGCATGGCGCCTGGGCTCTACAAAGTTTCGCAATATCGAAGACCATGCGCGCGATGCGCCTGCCTCCAACACCCCGCCGTTGGACCGCGCCGTTCAGACCGAGAAGGGCAGGAAGTTCGAAGCCGTCGCCCTCCACGACAGGAGCGCGCATGCTGCGCTGGGTAGTCACGCCGTCGCGGGTGGCAGCCGCACTAGGACAATTTACCTCCAAATTGGCAGCCTGCGAGCCCTTGCCTACGCCTGCCACATGAAGCGGGGACGCCGGCCTCTCCTCGGCAGCGGACGCAAAACTGGAAGCACTGCCAGGGGAACGCCTACGATCCTGACGCGGTGCCCCGGGCGTCGGCGCGGGCCGAGGAGTTCGGGCGGCGCCCCGCTGCGGCGGCGTCTCCTCAGGGCACGCCGTCGCCCGGCATTGGCCGGGCCAGCCCCGCAGGCGCCGGAACCCGAGCACCGAGGTCTGCCGCGCGGGACCGCGACGCAGATGCTGGGCCCGCAGCGGCACAATCTGCACCGACGAAGCGGAACTCGGCGACGACGTCAGCCGGGCCGCGGCAAGCCAGGCAGCACGCCAGATGGGCGTCGGCTTCTGCACGAGCTGCAGGCGGCATGCCCGGCGCAAGATGCGGCGGGACTGTAGGCGTCCAACTCGATCGCCAAGTGCGGGGGCCTCGAGACGAATGAGACATTCAAGATCGTCGCCGTTGAAGACCGCGACGCGCGTTGCAGCTGGCGCGGCTGCTGGCGCAGGTGGATCAGTAGGGGTTCATTTCAACTCCGCAATGCCGCAAGGCCCATCGTCGCTGCTCGCCCCGTTCTCGTAAGAGCTGACGCGAAAGCTGGGCGTTGTTGCGTTTCCCATAATACACTCGCAAGGCGAAGCCCTGGGAAACACAATGTTCTTCAAAAAACCGTACTCAATGAGCCGGAATTGCGTTTCCCATAATTTTTAAAAACATGGGAAACGCAATTCCGGGCGACTGCCTGAGGAGCTCGTCGAGGCGTCGTCGTTGCGCGCGGTCGAGTGCGCAGCCCGCTCTGCGTTCGGGTCGCACGCCGCTGGACATCCAGGCGTCGCGGCCGGCGAACCACATGGCCACTCCCCGAGATGGCTGGCCCACGTCAATGGTGACACGCTGGTTGAGGAAAGCCAGATCGTTGGGGGGGCCCGGCATCGGCGGCGGCACGGCTACCGGCGCGGACTGCGGTGGCCACGTCGAACTCGATCTACATGGCGCTCCGACGCCAAGTGCTAAAGGTTCATGGCACGTTGGCCCAGCTCGTCAACGGCACATCGGCAGGTGGGGAAGCTGGCACTGCGACTCGAGGGCACTGACGTCGCTTGCCCAGTCGCGCCCCGTGGCCCCAGCGGGAAGGCACCGGCCACTCTGGCCCACCGCTGTGGCGTCAGTGCCGGCGGCGCTGCTGACGCCGCTGGAGCTGCGGGCGCCGCAGACGCTGCGCTTCCAGCTCCTGCCGCGCGGACTGGTAACGCAGTTGCCCTATCCGTCGGCCGAGCAGAGACTCGTCGCGCGCGCCCACGAGAGCTCGCCCATCTCCCGGCGCAGTCGCCGAAGTTCAGCCCCCCGAGGGTTGGGCGAAGCCGATGACGACGATGAAGTACCCACCCATGCATCTCGACAAGTGGCTCTGCCCAGCTGCCTGCCAGGAGCCGTCGGGCGAGGCGCTTGGAGCTGCCGCTGCTGGCGATGGCTGCGCACTTGCCGAAGCAAGCTGGAGTCGGCCGGCCGCCGCCCCCGGGATCGGCGCTCACCGCCATCGGGCTCCGGGACCAATGGTTCGGGCATCCCGCGGTTGCCCTAATCGTCCAGACCGAATAGGCACCCGGCGCCGCTGGCGGAGCGGCTGGCCCAGGTGCCCCGCGCAACCCCAAGTGCACGAGCGGCGAGGACGCCGGCGCGGGCGGCGGCGGCGCTGCCGAGGCCGCGGCGCCGAAGAAAAAGGCGCGCCCTTGCCGGCGCCGCCGGGGACAGTCGCGCACGAGGTGCTCCCCTTAGTCGCACTCGCGGCAATCGAGACGCGCCCGCCAGGGCCCAGTGGGTCGCCTTGTCGGCCATGCCCCAGAGCACCGGTCCGATGCTTGCCCTTTCCCTTACCCGTGCCCTCCGCGAGGCCTGCGAAGGTTTCGGGGGGGTCGTCGTCGGGCCAGTTGACCGGGAAGGCGCGGTAGCCTTTCCCGTGGCCCTCGCCCTTGCGCTCGATGGGCCCACCCGCGCACGGCCATTGCAGCGGCGTCGTCGGGACATGGCGCGCCCGTAGGAACTTCGCGCAATTCGGGGTCATCGGCGGCGATTTCTTCGACGAGTGAGCTGGCGGCGCCGGTGTCGGTGCCCGATTCGCGACCTGCTGCTGCATGCGCCACCTGCGGTGCTGCCAATGCATCGGCGTCGGCGGCTGATGGCGCCGCAGGTGGGATCGGCGCTGCGCTCCGGGCTGGAGGGCCCGCGCCACCCCAGCTCGATCTGGCCCCAGCGCCCTAGGCCCTCCGATCCTGATCGCGGGCGGGCGCGCCCGCAAGAAACGCTCAGCACCGGGGCGAACGCACGGCCAAGGCGAGATTCCCTGGCGAGCCTTCGATCATGTCAAAAACTGCGCAGCTGACCCATCGCGCGCCAGCCGCGGCGCGTCCGTCGGGCAGGTCACGTCGCAGCGCCACCGGATCATGGCGAGCTGAATGTTCGACGCACCCACCGCGTGCAGCACTCGCGTAGCCGATGATGAGTTGACCGGCCTGCTGCGCCCTGTTGCGGAGGATGTTGAACCCGGTGGGGAGGTTGTCGACGCGCTCCTGCGGCATTCGGTTCAGGTTCATCAGGGTCGATACCGCCGGCGCGCGCCCCTCCTGGAGATCTCCAAGCTGGCGCCACCATTCGGCCAGGCTGCGCGCGGGCAGGTCATAGGCGGCACTGGGTCGCCGTCAATATGACAACCTTGGACGAAGACAGCCGGCGGCCAGTCGCCCACGCACTCGCGAGCCACGCCGGCCATGCAAGACGAGACGTAGGCCGCCTAGCGGAACTCGCTGAAGGCGGAGATCGCCACTGACCAAATCATTACCTCCCACGCCCAGCGTCGGAAGGGCACGCGAGATGGCTTCTCGGGCCTCCAGGCGCGGAGGCGTCGCATGTCGCCGCTGCCCCCACCACCCGCGCCCGCGCAGGCGACGCAGCTGATGGCAGCGACCGCGCCCACTCCAATGGCCTTCCATCCAGAGCGCAACCCCCTCCAGTTGTCGAAGAGGCGCGACAGTCCTGGCACCCGCCATCGGCGTCCTGATAGGAATATTCGAGTCCGTCGCGGGTATCTGTCCCTGGTGCGCCCCTCCTCATCAGCGCATTGGGTCTTCTTTCTGTCGCGCGATTGGAGCGCGGGCTGCACTCGGAGCACCCCGCTACGCGGTGGCGAGATAACTCGTCGTCGTCGCATTGTCGCTGCACTGAGCATTGCCAAACGCACGGTAGCCCAGAGGAGTACGCACTGGGATCAAGGTCCGCCAGGAAGCAAAGAGGGCGCAGGTAACGAACGTCGAGGGTCATGTCCCAAAGAACCGATACCGAACAGTCCCAAGCATGTGTAACGGCCCCCCGGAAGGATGGCAACACAATTGCCCGCCCCTCCTCTGTATCCCCGCTCTTGCCTGCACGCGCCTCGCCCAGCTTCCAGAACGCAGTTGCGGAGAACTCGGGGCGCCGTGCCGACACCGACGATGTGAGCGTCGGATCAAACGACTGCTTGACATAGTCGGCTACACCCACATGCGGGTGCAACTGGGGCGGTGCATCCTTTTTCTCTTCCTCTTCGGGCTTCTGCAACACAATTGCGCGTAGTTCGGGGCCCCGCGCCGACGCCGTGAACGTGGAACTCGGATCGCTCGACGGTCTTAAGCTGACGGCGGCACTCACGGGCGAGCGCTGTGACGACGAAGGGCCCTCGAACATCTCGAACGCAGTTCGAAGGTGCCCGAGGGAGAGGCGCGGAGGGCGCTGACCTTCTGGTACATGCTCTTGGTTTCGTAGATGTGCTTGGTTTCCTGCGCCGCTGATGGCGGCTGGGCCTGGGTGGCCCCGCCAGCCCCTCGAGGCACGGCGCCTGTTTGGGCGAAGTGGATGACCAGCATGAGTACGATGCGGAGCAAGTCGCCGCGAGCACGTGGGGAAGCCTCGCGGGCCATGACAGGCGGCGAGTGGTCGCGGCGCGGGTTGCTCAACTACCAACTACATATGTGGATGTGGGGTGTAAAAGGCGACCTTCTACATTTCAAAGAAAATCTGTTTGTGAAGAACACGCGTATAACACGGGCACGAAAGCTTGGCCAGCTTTCGTGCCCCCGAACAGAAACGGCGGCGGTGAGGGAGACGGTTACAAGCGCAAGAGAGAGTGCACTGCAATGGCCTACCGTTCGAATACGAGGAGGGCGAGGAGAAGGAGGAGGAGGAGCAGGACGAAGACGAGGACGAGGAGGAGGAGGCGGAGGAAAAAGAGGAGGACGAAGAGGAGGACGAAGAGGAGGGGGGAGGGAAGAGGGCGAGGAAGAGGAGGGCGACGACGACCTCGGTGATTGCGACGGCGAAGCGCGACGGCGACGGCGACGGCGGCGCGCGACGACGGCGACGGCGAACGGCGAACGGCGACGGCGACGGCGACGGCGTCGGCGGCGGCGATGGCACCGACGGACAGGACTCCCAACGAGCCTCGAAATCCGGCCCTGGAAGCTTGAGGCGGGTCTTCATGCGGTTGAGGTCGGCGGCGTCCACTTCCGAAATGGACATCGCCCGCGAACTCACGTTGAGCCTCCCGAGGGGATCTATTGTCGGGAACTGGCGCTTAGCGTGTCAAAGCGGCGGCCGCGGCGACAGCATATGCCTTGCGAAGGGTAGCGAGCCGTGCCGCTCCGACGGGCGAGAAGCTCGGGAAGGTTTGGGACGCTGACGCCTTGGGACAGGGACGCGCACAGCGTGTCGCGCCGAAGCGTGGCAAGGCAGAACCAGCGACGCGACACGGAAAGTCAAAGTTGCCGACGATAACATCGCATGCTCCTACGTGTCCTTGCCAGGGGAAACGATTGGAGAGGCAACTGGCTCAGGCGGGGGAAGCATTGACGTGGAATCGGCGATACATCGCCGATAGATCAGCGGCATTCCCCCGATAACGAAACCGCACCTTCCTGGGCGGGGCGGGCACACCCAGGCCCCGATTGACGATGAATGTGCGATTGGAGGTCGATGCCTCCCCTGCTTGGCCCGTTCCCCCGTGGCGTTGCCCCTGATCTTGGCGGCGCGCACGAGGGGGTGGCGCCGTGCGTCGCCTCGTCACCTCACCTCCTCCCTCCGTTCCCTCCCCCTGCCCCTGCTATGTCGCCCCCCTGCTCCTCTCGGACATGCCTCGTTGGAGGCAAGCCAAGTAATTCAGCATCCAGCATCCATCCTGCTCCTCCTCCCCCTCCTCCTCCTCCTCCTATTCCTCCTCCCTCCTCCTCCTCCTCCTCCTCCTCCTCCTCCTCCTCCTCCTCCTCCTCCTCCTCCTCCTCCGCCTCCTCCTCCTCCTCCTCTCCTCCTCCTCCTCCTCCTCCCTCCCTCCTCCTCCTCCTCCGCCTCCTCCGCCTCCTCCTCCCCTCCTCCTCCCTCTCCTCCTCCTCCTCCTCCTCCTCCTCCTCCTCCTCCTCCTCCTCCTCCTCCTCCTCCCTCTCCTCCTCCTCCTCCTACTCATACTCCTACTCCTAAGTACTCCTACTCCTACACCTACTCCTACTCCTATCCTTATTCCTTATTAGAATATACTCCTACTCCCCCCTCAGGCCGGCCATTAGGGGCCGCATCCGGGGGGTCCCATCCGAACCTGTAAAAAACAATATAAAATCAACATGTTTCTTATTTTTCCCTCTCGACATGGATGTCCTGTCGTCCACGGCGATAATCCATTGCAAAAAATACCACAAAGAGCACACGCGCGCGTTCATGTCAGAATCCTACCGAACACCGTGTGTTTGCAAGCATTTCAACATAAAAACATCAAAAACCCAGTGCTTTTTCACAAAAATTGTACAAATTTCCCGCCCGGGCTCTCTTGCTGAAATCATAGGAAAACCATAGGAATCTTAAGAGTTCTGTCAAATCCAGCGATTTCACGTCATCGCGCGGTGCACTCGCGATGCTCTGTCATGCACCCAGGCCGCGAATCCTGTGCAAAAAATACCACAAAGAGCACACTCGCGCGTTCATGTCAGAATCCTACCGAACACCGTGTGTTTGCAAGCATTTCAACATAAAAACATCAAAAACCCAATGCTTTTTCACAAAAATGCTTTGGGGTGTCCTGTCAGACCGTCGGGCTTCCTCCGGCCACCTCTGGCTTCCTGCGGTGTACCGGGCCATTCTCGACTCGTCTGGCAATGCGTGCGCGGCATTCAACACGCGCTCGCCAGTTCCCGTCGGCAACCGCCATCGCGGCCGCATCAGCTGTACCAAACCGGCTGGCCGGTGTGACTTCGGCCCCCAGTTGTGCCAGCTTTGCTTCTTATGTTGTGGGAGGGCGGGTGGGACTGGGCATGCCATGCTTGACTCGCTCGAGCTGGCTAGCTTGACTCCTACTCCTACTCCTACTCCTCCTCCTCCTCCTCCTCCTCCTCCTCCTCCTCCTCCTCCTTTTCCTCCTCCCTCTCGTCCTCCTCCTCCTCCTTTTCCTCCTCCTCCTCCTCCTCCTCCTCCTCCTCCTCCTCCTCCTCCTCCTCCTCCTCTCTCCTTCCCCCTGTCTCTTCCCTTTTCTTCCCTCCATCCCCTCCTCTTCTCCCTCCTCCCTCCTCCCTCTCCCGCCCCTCTTTCCTCCCTTCTCGTCCCTCCTCCTCCCTCCTCCTTTCCCTTTTTGTCCCCGTTGTCTCCTCCCTCCTCCTGCCTCACTCCTCCCTTCCCCTTCCGTCTTCCTTCGTCGCTCCGGCTTGATACTCCTTCACCTTTTTCTCAAGATTGGGGCCCTCGTTTCGGCATCGCCTCTGGGGGACTTCCAAGAGTCCGTCTTGAACCTTAATGATTTAAGAACTACAATTTTTGGAGAGCGTAGATCATGTGTAGGAGGAGGAGAAGAAGGAGGACGGATGACTTCCAGGGACTCCAAGGATCGAGGGTGGAAGGATTGACTTCAGGGATTCCTTACGAGGGTGTGGAGGGCCAGGTGGAGGATGCGAGCATGGGAGCGGCGGCGCCTGGGGGCGTGGACGTTCAGGGTCACGCGCCGAGGCCGGAGAATGGTGGCGCAACAGTTCGAACAAGGGGTAAGAACCACCTCGTCCTCGGAGGTACTGCTACTACAACTACTCTTCCTTCCTCCCCCTCCTCGTCCTCCATCATCCTCCTCCTCCTCCTCTCCCTCTTCCTCTCCCTCATCTTCCCTCCCCTCCTCGTCCTCTTCCTCCTCCTCCGACATGCGGGGCGCGCGCAAGGCGATTGCGATGGCGATGTGCCGTCCGAGCTGCGGACGCCGAAGTTCCTCGGAAGAGGTGGTGGCGATATTTTCCTGGGCGGGAGGTCTGGGCGAGGGAATATCGGACCCCGCATGCCAGAACAATCCCCAACGATGGGGCGTGGTACCCAGAAGGATGCACGTGACATGCGGAAACATGGCGCATGACGGTATGTTTTTGTTGTGGTTGTTGTTGTCGTCGTTGTTGTTGTTGGTGGTGGTGGTGTTGTTGTTGTTGTTGGCGTTGTTGTTGTTGCTGCTGTTGTTGTTGTTGTTGTTGTTGATTGGGGGGGGGGGGGGGGGGGGTGGGGGGGGGGGGGGGGGGGGGGGGGGGGGGGGGGGGGGGGGGGGGGGGGTGTGGGGGGGGGGGGGGGGGGGGCGGGGGGGGGGGGGGGGGGGGGGGGGGGGGGGGGGGGGGGGTGGGGGGGGTGGGGGGGGGGGGGGGGGGGCGTTCGGGCGGAACCCCGAAACGCTCGAGAGTGAACTTGAGTTTCAAAAGACAAGCAGCCAGCGCCGAGACGGGAGCGCCAGGGCGCGTGTAGGGGGTCGAATAATAATCATGGTAACTAACACTCAACAGCAACAGCACGAATTTCAAAATCATTCGTCGGAGATCTGGATTTGCGTCGGAAGCCATATCTGGCCAGGCTGATGTTGTGCTCACCCAGGCTGGTGCCCCAGACCTCTCGACCCCTTTCCCCAGGCCTGGTTTTTCATCTTGACCCGCTTCCTGACAACCCCGAGGCCCATAGCCGTCTTCCAGAAACCAAAACTGGCGACGAGCTGGCCGCTCCGATTTTCTCGAGGCGCTGGATGTTTGGGCCGAGTCTGGGCAGGCTGGTGGTTCATTCGGACATCCAGCCTCGACAGCGCCTCGCACTGATGGGGTCCGATCAGATGGTGTCGGAGGATCGCGCCGCATCGCCGATACATCGCCGACGCGGTTCGATGCGGCGCGTAATAATCTCTACGCCGACGGCGCCAATGCATCGCCGACGTCGCCGATGCACCGCCTTTATATATATAAATAGAGCTATATATATATATATATATATATATATATATATACATATATACATATATATACATATATATATATATATATGTACATACATGCATACATACATACATACATAGAATTAGATCGACCTGTACAACTATAAGTATATACGCGTTGATTGATGGAGTAACTGGTAAACTGATAGATTTGAGATATCGGATCTATTGATGCACAAGTATATATGACAGTATACGTATATAGATAGAGATGGATGGTTGTCAAAACAGATAGCTAGATCTATAGGTCGATAGATGGGCAGATGTTCGCGACAATCAAAATAGTTGAAGAAGCCACCAGGGAACTCAGAGCCATCGCAAATCGACCGCAGCCCCCTTCCCCCCCCCCAACCTCCGTATCACCCGTAGGGTGGTCCCATCGGCATCTTCAGATCCGCCGGATGTCAGAGGTTCTCGCTTCATCATCCCCCGATGTGAGTCTCGTCCTGGCCTCGTCTACACCAGGTTGCTTGTCTACTGCCCAGGCTGGTGCCTCTTCCAGCCGTTCCGCGGCGGCGCCTGCTTCGTCGTCCTGCAGGCTTGCGGCTGGACCAGCCTGGCCACGGTGGGCGCCGCGGTGCTGCTGCTCGTCGCTACGTCCGCCTACGTGCCCGGCTTCGCCTCTGCGCTGGGGCCCTCGGGCAGTGCCAAGGGGGCCAGCGACCTCCTCTCAAGGGGCCCAGTAACACACACACACACACACACACACACACACACACACACATTTACACACTTACACAATCACACACACACACACTTACACACTTACACACCTACACACACATCGATATACATATATATTTATATATACACACGCGTACATATATATATATATATATATATATATATATATATATATGTGTGTCCGTAAGGGCTTCGCCCCCTGCCGCCGGCCCCCTCTCTCGTCGGGGAGAATGGCCATGGAAGAGCTAAGTCATGGTCCGGGCAAAACCAACTGATCACAAGAGGGGTTACCACACAGGGCGATTGGTAAGACGTGTATGGTTTACGAGCTTGGTTACCACACCTTGGGATTAAAGGGCCGAGGGAGTACTCGCAGTTTGGGTTACCACGCCTTGCGATGAATGTGCGTGAGGGGTGGCACCGAATTTCAGAAATGTGGCAAATCCCCTGTGTTTTTGGACCCTGACCCCGCGGATCTGCGTGAGGGGTGGCACCGAATTTCAGAACTGTGGCAAATCCCCTGTGTTTTTGGACCCTGACCCCGCGGATCTGCGTGAGGGGTGGCACCGAATTTCAGACATGTGGCAAATCCCCTGTGT